CTTGACCCTGCCACAAAAATATTCAGGTAACTGTGAACAGTCTCTGCCTTAATAGGGATTTTCAAAATTCCAGGGTACAAAGACATCCAACAGAATGAGAGAAATTATTTGCAGACAACTTATCTGACAAAGGATTAATATTCAGAATATATTAGGAACTCAAAAACCTCAGCAATAACAACAACAACAACAAAAACAGTTAAGAAATGGACAAAGGACCTGAACAGACAGTTCTCAAGAGTAGAAATACAAATGGCCAACGAATTATGAAAAAACTGCTCAACATCACTGGCCATCAAGATGAAAGCCACAGTGAGATATCACCTCAGCCCTGTTAGAATGGCTATTATCAAAAAGACAGAAAGTCTTATACACTGTTGGTGGGAATATAAATTAGTACAGTCACTGTGGAAAACATTGTGGAGATTTCTAAAAAAAAAAAAAAAAAACTAGAAATAGATGTAATGTATAATCCAGGTATAATCCAGGAATCCCACTACTGGCTGATACAATTCCAAAAGACATGAAATCATTGTATCAAAGAAATAACTGCTCCACCATGTTTATTGTTGTTCTGTTCATAATAGTCTAGATATGAAACTAGCCAAAGTGTGCACCATCAGATGAGTGAATAAAACAAATGTGGCACGTAAGCACAATAGAGTATTATTCAGCCATAGAACATGAAATCCTGTCATTTTCAGCAAAATAGTTGGATCTGGAAGACATCACGTTAAGTGAAATAAGCCAGATACAGAAAGACAAACATTGTAAATGGGTACCAAATCAGAGTTTAATCAAAAGAATAGGTTCCTAGTGTTACACAACATAATGGAGAGATTACAGTTTGCAATAACTTAGTGTGTGTTCTTTCAACAAATCAAAAAGAAATCCAAGACTCCAATTGTCAAAGAAGGAAATGTTGATTACCCTGATTTGATCAGTACACATTCGATATACATATTGAAATGTCACGCTGCAGCCCACAGATATATACAATTATTACTAATTTTAAAGCTTTTCTTAATTCCTCAGGATCTGTAAAACATCTGCTGGGATGTAAATTTTGCCTTTGCCTCACCCATACTTAACAGCACTGTTCTGCACCCTTCTCCTGTGTGTCCATCCATGTAGCCTTTCTTCTGTTTTATTTCTTTTAATTTTTTAATATTCTTTTAAAATTTTTATTTATTCATTTGAAAGTCAGAGTTATATAGAGAGGGAGGAGAGACAGAGAGAGAGAGATCCTCCATCCACTTGTTCACTCCCCCATGGCCAAAAAGGCAGCAGCTGGGCCAGGCCGAAGCCAGGAGCCAGGAGCCTCTTCCAGTTCTCCCACATGGGTGCAGGGGCCCAAAGACGTGGGCCATCCTCGGCTGCTTTCCCAGATGGACCAGCAGGGAGCTGGATCGGAAGCAGTGCAGCCAAGACTCAAACCAGCACCCACATGGGATGCTGGCACTGAAGGCATAGCAGCTTAACCCACTGCCCCACAGTGCCAACCCCAGTTCATTTTCTTAATTATGGTAAAATACACGTAAATGTTATCATTTGACATTTTTAAGTTGCAATTAAGTGCCATCAAGTATATCCACAATGCACAATCACCACTAACCATTTTCAGAACTTTTTTTTTTTTTTAATCATCCTAAACAGAAGCTCTTACATCCATTGAACAATAACCCCTGATAGCCTCTCTCTACTTACCTCTCTCTGGATATCCTAGGTACCTCATGTATGTGAGATCATACAATAATCATCCTTTTGTTACTGACTTATTTCACTGAGCTTAATGTCTTCAGTGTTCACCCATGTTGTAGCATGCATGAGCACTTCATTACCTATTGTGGCTGAATAATATTCCATTGGATGATAAACCACATTTGCTTATCTGTTTATCTGTTGATGGACTTTGGGTTGTTTCCACCTGTGGGCCAAATGATGAATGCTGCTGTGCACATTGGTGTCCAAGTATCCATCTGAGTGCCTGCTTTCAAATCTTTTAGGTAAATGCCTAGGAGTAGCATTGTTGGGTCATAGGTAATTCTATGTTTAATTTTTTGAGGAACTACCAAGCTATTTTCCCCAGTGGCTGAGCCATTTATTTCCATTTACATGAGGTTTCCAGTATCTTTGCATCCTTGCCAAGACTTGTTATTTTCATTTTTAAAAATATTGTAGTTATTTTTTGAGTAAACCTTTTAATTGTACATTCTAGTCAAAGACTTATTGGCTACACTTAATAAAGAGTTCAACAAAGCAAAGGTGAAAGGACCACCAAAGGTGGGTGGTCATAGACCACCCACAATGATCAAAGGAAAAGGTGTCCAACTTCACTCATCTCAGTTTAAAAATAGTCACAAAGTCACTCAGACTATAGTAGTATATGTATTCCTATCAATTCATTGGACTCTTTTCCACTTTTCTTGTTTAAAAGATTTTATTTATTTACTTGAAAGTCAGAGTTACAGAGAAGCAGAGAGAGAGAGAGGGAGAAAGAGAGAAGTCTTCCATCCAGCCCAAATGGCTGAAATGGGCAGAGCTGTGCCGATCCAAAGCCAGATGCCAGGAGCTTCTTCTGGGCTTCCTGTGCAGGTGCTTGGGGGCCATCTTCTACTGCTTTCCCAGGCCATAGCAGAGAGCTGGATCAGAAGTGGAGCAGCTGGGACTGAAACCAGCATCCATATGGGATATTGACACTGCAGGCGGCAGCTTTACCCACTGCACCACAGTGCCATCCCCCACCCCCCCCCGCACTTTTTAAAAATAGCCATTCTAATGGGTGTGAAGTGGTGTTTCACTGAGGCTTTGATTTGCATTCCTAAGACTAATGATGTGGAGCATTTTTTAATGTTTATTGACTATTGTCATTTTCTGTTGAGAAATATATGTCAGGTGCTTTGTTCATTTTTAATTGAGTTATTTGAGGACTTTGTTGTTGAGTTGTAAGAATAAGTTTTCTATTTGGGACATGAATTCCCTATCAGATGTATGATTTCCAGGTTTTCCTGCCATGTTGTGGGTTTTTTCACTCTCTTGATGGTGTCCTTCTATGCACAAAAGCTTTCACTTTGATGTGGCCCAGCTTCTCAGTTTTTTTCTCTGCTGCCTGTGCTTTTGGTGTCCCAGCCAAGAACTCCTCGCCAAATTCAGAGTCATGAAGATTTTCCTCTGTTCTAAGAGTTTTAGGGTTTTCACTGTTACAGCAAGGCTGTGGATCCATTTTGAGTTGATTTTTTAAATATATACATCTTTCTTCTCTGTCTTCCTTTTACCTGACAAAGCCTTACTGAGATCCTACAGAATACTGTGCATTGTGTGGGACCCGGGAAGGAGGAATATAAGGCCCCTTTCCCCCTGGGTTCTAGAGGGGGGAGACAGACAGCGAGCATTTATTAAGAAGATATGTGAAATCATTTCAGATAGGGATTCGTGGTTTGAAGGAACGCCTGGCAGGTGAGACAGAGCCACCATCTGTGGGGACAGTGGGAGGGAACTCCAGTGGGGGGGGGGGCATGAAGTCTGGGAGGAGCTTTCAGGCCAGGCCAGGGGAAAGGCTCTGGGACAGGGTCAAGGTTAGCATCCTCCTGGACAGGGACCAAGGACCACTGGGCGGGGGTCAGAGCTGGGGCATGAAGCAGGGCCCGATCAGGGCAGTGTTAGAGGCCATGGTTTTGTTGTAGAACAAAATTTCTAGATAGCAACAAGGATATCAAATGGAAGTTATTCCAGAGCATGAAGTCCGGGAAAGATGCGATCCAATTTACACAGGGAAAAGAAAAAAACAAAAACAAAAAACAAAAAACACTCTGGCAGTCAGGGAGAGAATGACCTCCAGGGGGCGAGAGTGGAGCAAAAGTGAAAACCGACCCCCTGAGCTGCTAACAGCAGGCGGAGGCGCCGCATCTCAGGTGCCTTGGGCTCTGGTGGTTGTGCTACAGGGGCGGTGAGCGGTGCCTGCGCTGGGGCTTCATTCTGGAGCCAGGCCTGACACTCGCTGATGGGCTGAACTGGCAGAGGGAGGGAAAGAGGCCTCCAGGCTGACTTGGATTTCCACCTAAGCTGTCGGCTCTTGTCTGAGATGTGGAAAGTGGAAGGTGTGACCGTGGGGAGACAGAGTTCTGTCTTGCGTAGGTGAACTTTGAGATGTCGGTCACCCCTGCTGACCATCCTCATGAACTCAGCAGCTCACTAAGGAGCACCTGCTGACTGCGTCAAGCACTCTGGTGGCTGCTGGGCAGATAGCGGTGACCGCCACCTGGGGAGCTTCCCTTTTCTACCAGGTGTGCTCCCCAACACCTTCTCATCAGAAAACAGACCCAGAGGCCCAGGAAAATGGAAGCCCCCCAAATGGCACATTTCTTAACTTCATTTAGGCCCTGGGGTAGTCCGCATGCTTTTAGACCAGTGTCCCAAGGATAAATGGGCTGACGATGGGAACAGAAATAACTGTAGGATGTGCTGGCTGTTTTCACATACTTGACTACTAGTAATTGTTGGAGCAATTAAGCCAATCACTGAACTAGTTTGGGGAAGTAGAGGCAAAACATTAGTTAATAGAAAAACAGGAGTCACTTGGTACACCTTGCCTAAAAGTTCGTGTCCTACTGGATTCCCTTAGAATATGCCTCAAGTCCAAGTTACAAAACCCATAGTCTTGGAAGTCAAGAACAATCGGCTCGGTTTTCCTTGGCTGGGAATGGACTCTGCACAGAGAACCTGGCTGGGTTGTTAAATGACTCAGTTTGGTTCTTGTCACTGGTGCTTTCTCCGGGACTGCATTGCCTCTGCACCTTTGACATCAGGGGCTGATGCTGATTGCTACACCCCTGAGTTGGAAATGACCTTGTAGGAGGCAGACAAGATGATCTTTTTTTTTTTTTTTAAAGAAATGTCTGTTATCGAGTCATTTCTTATGACTGAGTTAATTTAGCCAACTTAGAAGCTTTTACAGACTGTCTTTTTAAAGCCCTGGCTAACCGCTTGATTTACTCTTCCAGGAAAGAGTCACCAAGCTTGCACCCCGTCCCCAGTCTGAAGAGGACCTGTCTGCGCTGTTTGAAGCTGCCATGAAACTGTATTGATCACCATTTTAACTGCTGGAAGAGCCTCCTGCTGTTGTAGTTCTGGAAACAGCAGTTGATCCAGAGAGAGTTTTGTCTTTTCGCCTCCACGTGTGACTTACCTGAACGTGAGATAACGGAGCCTGCAGGAGGTTCCTTGATGCCCAGAGTCAAGTTATTTCCATTCAAACTGCACGAATGCCCACTGGGTCAGACTCTGGGGCCACACCTTGGGGTCAGTGTTCCCTGCCTAAGCCCCACAGAATACTCTACTCTGTTCCTTATTCAAGCAGGCAAAAACTCAGGATTTAGCAAAAAGTGTAAATTTACATATTCTGGGGTGGTTATGGTGTCACGACAGGTTAAAGTTGCAGTGCCAGCCTCCCATATTAGAGCTCTGGATCGAGAGCTCTGGCTGCTCTGCTTGTGATCCAGATTCTGTTCACACATCCTGGGAGGCAGCAGATGATGGCACAAGCACCTGGGCCCCTGCCACCCATGCCGGTGACCTGGGTGGAATTCCAGGCCCCTGGCTTCAGCCTGGCCCACCCCTGGCTGTTGCAGGCATTTGGGGAGTGAACTTGTGAATGGCAGACTTTCTCTCTCTCTGTCTCTCTCTCTCTCTCTCAAGTAGATGAAAATAAATACCTTTTTTTTTTTTTTAAGTTTTAAACAACACCCACATCCTATACCCAATAACTGCATGACTATAAATGTATCCTCTGGGAAGGGTATTTCTGGCAGCATATTTTCTAATTAAAAAAAGATACAACTTAAACATTCATTAATAATATATGGATAAATAAATAACTGCATATTAAACAAACGGTGGAACACTGTGATGCCATTAATATGACATGGTAAATAGGTTGGAGTTGTTTGTTAGGTATTGAAAGTTGGCAAAGAAAAAATAAGTTGCAGAACAATTACATATTAGTATGATCTGGTTTTTACTTTTTCTATTATACATAATTATATGTCTATATAAACATGGAAAAGAAAGATGCATACCAAAATAGTAAATGTTTTGGCTAGAGAGATGGAATTTGAAGTGTGAGAAAATACTTTATATTTTGTACTTTTTTATTGTATAAGCATCTAGGTTGCTTGGATTTATTACAGCAAAGATATATTACTTTTCTAATTAAAAAAAGTAAAACAAAATAATTTTAATGTTTTAGGTCAGCATTCACCTTATTTCACAAAAAATAGTAACAAATATTTAAAAGGTAAAAAAATCAACCAAAAGGGGTAAAAATTTAGAGACCAACCCTCTGGTGAATAAATTGTTCTTTTGAGAAAAACACCACCATCCTTTGTGGTAATTCCCTCTTCAGACAAGTGTTTCTGGTGCTCAGAGTAAATTCATGTAAGAGCAAGCAGCTTGGCAGTTCACAGCTATCAGCCTTGCGAGTGGGAGCCCAGTAGCCTGGCGACCCTCCTCCCCGCTGCTCGTAGTCCTCAGAAAATCCACAGCTCAAAGGCTACCACGCTGAAGTTTGCCTGCCCTCGCACCGGCAGCACAGATCCCTGAGCACTTACAGACTTACTTGGGTTTTAAATAGAATCAAGTTTTATCTTATAAATAAGTACTATGTATAAGACACCAGAATTTATTGAAAGCATTATTGTGGTATTCAGCTGCCTTGGCTCCCTGTATCTCTAGAACAGTCTTTATTTTGTTGATATTTTAAAATAATATTCGGGGGAGGGGGCCTTCAAATTATAAACATAAAATGTGTTCCATGCCCAAAACAAGCACTACAAAGATAAACACAAATCATCCAAAAAGTAGCAATTGTCAAAAATTTTGTGTATGTTCTTCCAGCAATTTTGTAAGCATGGACATATATAGTCAGCTATATTTACTCAAACTTGCGCGTTTTTACTTAGAAATGACATCATTATGATATAATTTCAATTTTACAGAACAGCTAAATTCTTTGTATCAAGTGCTCCCAAACAAGTATGAAACAGTACTAACAGAATTTCAGCTGCATCTTCCAGGCAATCCCAACAGAATTTCAGCTGCACCTTACAGGCGATCTCAGATTCCTTGGAGCTTTTTGGGAAGATCACGGAGTCTGAGAGCAGAAGCTCCCAGAACATGTGAATGAGGCAGACAACGGTTCCACTTTGCCGAAGTGAGATCCTTCAGGAAACTTTAGTAGAAGTTGCTAATGGTCTCTAAATATACTTGGTACTAATAGGAGGGTACTTCAAAAAGTTTATGGGAAAATGGGATTAAAAGATGAGTTTACTTTGGAGCAAAAATTTCTGAAATCTAAGGATTGTTTTCAGAATAGGCATTTTCCATGATTTTTTTTTTTGCAGTACTCCTGGAGGGTATGCGTATATTTTCCCTCACCCTCACCATCCCTCACAAAGTCCAAGTATGTTAGAGAACTCTTACAATATGATCATCCCTCAGTATCTGAGGGGTTTTCTCCCCTCTCATACCCAAAACCATGGATGCTCAAGTTTCATATAAAAAATGGCATAGTATTTGCATAGAACCCGTGCAACTTCAAGTCATCTCCAGATTACTTATAATAGCTAATATAGTGTAAATGCTGGGTAAATAGCTGTTATATCATGTTATTCAGGGAACAATTACAAGGAAAAAGGTCTGCATATGTGTGGTACAAACTCAACCATCATAGGCCAAACTGCATAGTACATGAATACTAAAAAAGCAAACAATATTCAAGCCAAATTCCCGGTTCCAGCTCTTGACTCCAGCTTCTTGCTAATGCAGACCCTGGGACATGGCTATAGTGGCTCAGGTAGTTGGGTCCCTGCCACCTATGTGGGAAATCTGGATTGAGTACTGGAGAGAGGCACAGAGGATCTACGAAGTGGTGGGAGGCCAAAGCAGGTTATGCCCACACATCACTTCATTCGAGTCACATGGATTTAGCATGGGGCTCAGCACGCAGCAAATTCAAGTTTTACTATTTGGAACTTTCTGGAACTTTTTTTAGTATTTCTGATCCATAGTTCAGTGCACCTCAGATGCAGGACCTGCAGCTACAAAGCAATGACTGCATATTCTGCAGTGTGATGTGGCATCATGGGGAGAGCATTCTTAGACTAAGGTAAAGGCCCTGGGCTTTGCTCCAGTCTCATCTGAGTCTTTATTCAACCAAGCCCTCTTCTAGCCCACATATGCTCTGACTAGACTTTATACATTGCCTACTCTGTACTGTGAGATTTTAGGTGTGGGGGATTTAGCGTAAGATAATCTGAGATATAAAAATGCACTCTCTCTCTCTCTCCAATGTTTGATGCCTTTACTAACAGGAGCCAGATGTCTGAATGTGACTCACCAGAAGTATCTGGTGTTCATACTGATGATGACTCCACAGAGGAAGAATTTAAAGGTCACGCAAGAGGAAACAGATTCAGGAAGGCTTCATGTTTTTTCTCTTGATACCCATCATTTTGGTCCTTACATTTGAAAATGAGTATTTGTGGTTTATCAACTATTAAAAGAGAGTGAGATGGATGATTAGGCCCATTTCTGTAAGCCAAACACTTTGACATCAAAGAGACAACACATTCTCTTTATTCATTTCAAATCTATTTTTCTGTTCATCTCCTTTAAAAAAATTCCTAGGAATTATAGCTCCATTTGTATGTACCAAGACAAGGAAAATTGAAAGATGGTGTTCAAGAGTTTGTACAAGGGGGCAGGCGCTTAGCCTAGAAGCTAGGATGCACACATCCCACAGTGATGATAACCCAAGTGGTTGGGCCCCTACCACTCATTTGGGAGACCTGGATTGAATTCCCAGATCCCAGGTTTGGCCCTGTCCAGCCCCCCGTCACTGAAGGCATTTAGGGAGGGAATTAGCACATGGGAGTTCTATCAGTCTCTGTCTCTCTACCTCTCAAATTACTTAAAATAATTTTTTAAAAGTTTGCATGAATTATTCCTATTTCATAGAACCATTATATAGAGTGGCATTTTCACTTAAAATACACATCTTAATTTCTTTTGTGATACAAAGTACTGGTTTGTTCCAAGAGTTCTTGCATCTGTGATTTGTTGTTGAGTGTCACAAACTAATAACTGACCCATTTTGCACTCCTGTCCCTTTGCCATGAGCTGTGGTGGACTTGGCATTATTTTAGTAGCTGTGGACACAGCTGTGGGGTGTTTTCACATGGTTGGTGAGGGAAGTCCGCTCCAGTAAAATACAGACAAGTACAGTATCAAAATAGAGAGAGGAAAAATTGCTTTTCTGGCCTTTTAACCCTAAGAAAGATTGATGATTGTTTGGATTAGAAACTGTACCCTAATGAGGAACTGTGTCTCTGGGGACAAGGTATGAGAAAGGGGACCATTCACCTCCAGGTCAACCTTGCACAGGTTGTGAGCCTGTGATGACCAGCCGCCACAAGCCAGACAGCTGCCTGGGCTCCCCATGAAGTGCCTGGTCCTCGGGGAGCTGTTGGGGACAGGGCCATCACCATCACAATGGCCTGGAGGGGAGGCGGTCTCCAGGGCCAAGCCATGCTTTCAATGCCCAGAAATCAGTTCTTGAAACCCTAGGTTGAATTACTGGCAGCTGGGGGTGGGAGGATCTAGTTTCTCAAGCTATTATTCCCTGTTTTTCCAACCACTTCAGTCACTCTCGAGTAAATACAATCTCCCTAAATTGCAATAACCAAGGTTTTGTCCTGTGTGAAATCCTTCATGATGCTATGTGCAGGACAGCCAACTTCAAAGCAACTCATTTCATTCTATCTGGTTTTGAATATTGGCTTTTCATTTGGGGGGGGTTAATTAGTTTGCCACTTTATAAAATTGCAAACTGATTAAAATAATCATGAGAGAAAAGGAGGGAAAAAAACTACTCATCATCTCATTACCCAAACACAGCTGTTAACATTTAATGTCTTTCCTTCCATCTTTCCCATTTGAGTGGGGTAATCTTCAACTCTTTTCCCTTCGTGCATGACATTTGAGGCATTTTCCATGTCACCCCATAATCATCATTTTTAAATGTACACAGTAGGGGCAGGTGTTTGTGCAGCAATCAAAACGCCACTTGGAAGGTCCACATCCGGTGTCCAAGTGCCTGGGTTTGAGTCCCAGATCCACTTCATTTTGTTTTTTTAAGATTTATTTATTTTTATTTTAAGGCAGAATTACAGAGAGGCGGCGGTAGGGAAGAGTGAGAGAGAAATCTTCCATCCACGGGTTCACTCCCCAAATGGCTCAAATGGCAGGAGCGAGCCAATCCAAAGTCAGGAGCCAGAAGCTTCTTCCTAGTCACTCATGCAGATGCAAGGGGCCCAAGCACTTGGGCCATCTTCCACTGCCCTCCCAGGCCACAGCAAAGAGCTGGAGCAGAAGTGGAGCAGCCGGGACTCGAACCAGTGCCCAAATGGGATATTGGCACTGCAGGCCATAGCTTAACCTGCTGTGCCACAGTGCCACTGCCACCACCACCCCAATCCCCAGCTCCACTTCTGATTTCAGTTTCCTGCTAATGTACACCCTGGGAGGCAGCAGATAATGGCCTAAGTGCTTGGGTGCCTGCCACTTACATTATAATCCTCTTCAGGTACCCGTGCAAGTATTTCTATTTGATACAAAAGTTTCAAAAGTAGAGACTCCAAGAGGTCAAATCCCTTTCTCAGATTTACACCTAAATCCACCTCGTCAGACTACATCCCAAGACATTAGTTCAACAATATTGAGGGCAAACCTAATATTGATAATTGGGCTGAATTATTATATGCCAGGCCTTATACAGGCTTTATGTGCATTATCTGCTCAAAACAGCCTGATGAAATACATGCTACCCCCATTTTACTGATGATAGTACCCACCTTTAAAGAGGTGGTTTGACTTGGCCAAGGCCATGGTGCTAGCAAGTTGTAGTAAATAATTCGCTTTTTTTTAAAAAAAAGATTTATTTATTTACTTGAGAGTCAGTTACACAGAGAGAAGGAGAGGCAGAGGGAGAGAGATCTTCCATCTGATGGTTCACTCCCCAGATGGCCACACAACCAGAGCTGTGCCAATCCAAAGCCAGGAGTTTCTTCTGGGTCTTCCACATGGGTGCAGGGGCCCAAGGACTTGGGCCATCTTCCACTTCTTTCCCAGGCCAGAGCAGAGAGCTGGATTGGAAGAGGAGCAGCTGAGACTCGAACCCACACCCATATGGAATGCCACTGCAGGCAGCAGCTTTGCCCACTATGCCACAGCGCTGGCCCCAGGAACCCAATTTCTTTCTTTCTTTCTTTCTTTTTTTTTTTTTGACAGGCAGAGTGGACAGTGAGAAAGAGAGAGAAAGGTCTTTCTTTGCCGTTGGTTCACCCTCCAATGGCCGCCGCAGCCGGCGCACCGCGGCCGGCGCACCGAGCTGATCCAAAGCCAGGAGCCAGGTACTTATCCTGGTCTCCCATGCGGGTGCAGGGCCCAAGCACTTGGGCCATCTTCCACTGCACTCCCTGGCCACAGCAGAGAGCTGGCCTGGAAGAGGAAGAACCCAATTTCTTAAGCCATCACCACTACCTCCCAGGTCTGCCCTGGTAAGAAACTGGAGTCAGGAGCCAGAGTCAGGAACCAAAACCAAGCACCCCAATGTGTGGTACAAATCTCTCTCTCTCTCTCTCTTTTTTTAAAGATTTATTTATTTATTTGAAAGTCAGAGTTACACAGAGAGAGGAGAGGCAGAGAAAGAGAAAGAGAGAGAGAGAGAGGTCTTCCATCCGATAGTTCACTCCCCAGATGGCCCCAATGGCCAGAGCTGCACCCATCCGAAGCCAGGAGCCAGGAGCCAGGAGCTTCTTCCGGGTCTCCCACATAGGTGCAAGGGCCCAAGTACTTGAACCATCTTCTACTGCTTTCCCAGGCCATAGCAGAGAGCTGGATTGGAAGAGGAGCATCCGGGACTTGAACTGGTGCCCAAGTGGGATACTGGCGCTTCAGGCAAAGGTGTTAACCTGCTGCACCACAGCACTGGCTCCCAAATCTCTTAACTACTAGGCTAAATGCCCACTCCCCAGTATGGCTTTGATGAATTACAAATTGTCCAGGTTTTCCCTTCATTAAAATTTTTCAGTGGCTTCTTATAGCCTTCAAGGAAAGGCACACACAAGGGGCTGGTGTTGTAGCATAGCAGGTAAAGCCACTGCCTACAATGCCCCCCATCCCATAGGCGCAATGGTTCAAGTCCCAGCTGCTCCACATGAAATCCAGATCCCTGCTAGTGCACCTGGGAGAACAGCAGAGTATGGCCCAGGTGCTTGGGCCCCTGCAACCATGTGGAAGACTTGGAAGAAATTCATGGCTCCTGGCTTCGGCCTGGTCCAGCATTTGGAGAGTGAACCAGCAGCTGGAAGAGCTCTCTCTCTCTCTCTCTCTCTCTCTCTCTCTCTCTGTAACTGTGCCTTTCAAATAATCTTCAGTTAATTTAATCATTCAATCTAAAATAATTTATTTAAAAATAAATCTTGAGAGAGAGAGAGAGAGAGAGCACGCACAGACCCTAGCAGATAGGCTGGCCATCACAACCTTGCCCTTGCACCCCAGTGCAGCCCTGTGTCTCCAGCAGGGCTTCACTGTGGTAGCATTGACCCCTCCAGCTTCCTACACATTCAGGAACTTTCTCAGGCCTCCTTGTCTTTGGTCAGGCTACTCCTTGTGCCGGAAATACTGTCCCAAGCCTCATGGCAAACTCCTGCCCATTCTTCACTCCTCAGCCCTGCCACCTCACCACCACCCTCTCCCTAAGGAAGTCTGGGAACCTGCTTCCAGGTCACCTCTGAACCCCCATAACATCCCTGCATGCCTCTAATTAGCACTGTGTACTGTAAACACATCTAACCCTGTATGCAGTCGTGTATTTTCTTGTCTTTGTTCTCTAGTTTGATAACACACGGGTGAAAGATTGTCTCGGCTACTCCTCATCTAGCCTAAAAGCTGACACATGCAGCAGCCAGTTGTTGACTGTACCTGTAGAATCTATAGAGATGATGAAGCAACATTACTTTCTTACTCAGACCACATGATTTCTCCTTGACCAGCATCTCACACTTTTTGAGTGAATGAATTTGACCTGTGTGCCCTATCAGCTGTAACCAATGAATGGTGGACCCAACATCTCTTGCCCATTATATTAGGAAAACATACTGGCAAAAAGTAAAACATGTCCTAGGATCCACATTTTTTAAAAAAAGATTTATTTACTTATTTGAAAGGCAGAGAGAGAGAGAGACAGGGAGAGAGAGACAGGAAGAGATCTTCCATGTGCTGGTTCATTCCCCAAATGGCCTCAACAGCCAAGGTTGAATGAGATCAAAGCCAGGAACCAGGAACTCCATCAGAGTTTCTCAGGAGAGTGGCAGGGGCCCAAGACATGGGTCATCTTCTGCAACTTTCCCAGGCACATTGGGTTGGAAGCAGAGGGGCCAGGACTTGACCTAGCGTTGTGATATGGGCTGCTGATGTTGCATGTTGCAGCCCCTCTAGGATCCACGTTCAGATGC